GTAGATGGTCCCAGAAGGCACAGAGAAACATCCCAAAATATCAGCTGAAGTGCAGAGCTCAGAATAGTCTGTGTATCTTTAGAGTAAATTAGCCATCTTTCTTATCCACATGCATTTTAATTTGAATTAGAAATATTTGTTTGGAGAACAAATTTGTTTTCCTTTTTTAACTTAGCAGCTAGAAGCTGAAAGAGAAGCCCTTGTGGGCCTTTTTCAGATCTCTGCTGTTACATGAAGCTCAATCAGTTCATAGGGAGATAAGGTCTTTTAAAGATAGGTAGAATAGGATTGTTTTGTTTTGTTTTTTTTTTTTTTTTAAATGCTGCTATTGCTTTGCAGAAAGTTGCTGATTTACTCCCTGTCTGTCCTGAGAGCAGCTCCTCTCTTCTGCCCTGTTTTGCAGAAACTGAAAGGGGGGAAAAAAATAAAAATAAACAAATCCCATATCTTCTGGATTAATTTAGACCACTGTGAAGTCCTAAAACCACACCTGCTGACTGTGTACCRGAGCAAATGATGTGCTGCCTAACACTTTCTGCCAGCTTCACTAGAATCTAGTAGGGAAGAGACTAACAAGCCATGAAGTAGCATTTTCATCTGGTCTCTGTCTGTTTGTCCTTCAGAAAAGTCATCTAGACAGCAATGCTTCTGTTTATTGTTCAACCTCCTCTCAGCAGAGTCAAAATAACAAACAACCAGGTAATGAAAAACCATCTAAATCTAAGACATTCTGCTAAATTTCTCTTATGATAGTAAGAATSATGAGAATGCAAGCAAGTTAAATGTACTGTATTTAATCCCAYTTTGAGTACCTGCCAAGGACTTAAACCATTTTTGGTATTTAGTCCTGTCTGAGGATTTCTGGATTGCTGCTGTACTGTGGACTGTAGGCTAACAGAAAGGTCAGGTCAGGAAAAACACGGTCAGCAGKAAGAGCCAGTGAAATGATCTCTTTATTGTAGTGATTCAAATACGAATGATGGAACCCAGGTGATGTTACATCTGCTTAACACTTTGGGATTCGCTGGCTCATTTTCAAGATTCTTTTACAACTGGGATGAAAATATCATCTTTAAGCCTAAGCCAGAGCTTGTTGTCAACTCCCTAGGAGCACTAGATTTACTAAAACCCAGAAATGAAAACAGAGAGGTTGAAAAATCCCTCTGTTCCCAGCCATTCCTTCCCTAGCTGCTTTTAATGTTTTTAGGTTTGGTCATGCAGCTGTACAATACCTGCTGGTCCCATTTGATACAGTTARTGTTAACACAACAAAAATATAAGAAGGGCAAGTGATATACACAAACTGCTTATAATGGGSTGAAAAATWGCCAAGTAAGTTAGAAATGCTGGAKGGATGGAAATACTGTGTAAGGGGGAAGAGCAGTATGGTAACTCCTGTTCCCCTTGGAAAGGTGCACGTCTTCAGGGGAACTCAGAGGTGTTTAAAGGTGATTAAACCTTCACAGAAAAATCCACTGTAACCCCTGGGTTCAAATCCCTTGGAAAAGAGGAAAGGCAATCTAAGCTAAAAGTGAAATAACCCTTCCAGACCTTCTGTTTTCCTTACCTTAGGGCAGGCAAGCATGGAAACATTYATAGATGGTGGTGACAAACTGATAAATTTACCTTGGCTGTTAATTACCTGAATGTCATTCTTAGGCCTCCCATCTCCTACTTCTGCTATAAATTTTTCATCCTGGTACCAAGTAGACATCCTGATTGAATGCAAAATGTCTGTGAAAGCTGAGGAACAGAGACACTTGGAGCTTGCCAGCTACTGACAGCTTTATTTGGTTGGTGCAGGGGAGCTTGTTGAGGATGTGATGTTTGTGGGGGTCATCCAGGCAATGAGGGTGTGTACAAGGTGGGACAGAGGAGGCTGAGTGGCAGGCACACACACAAGATGCCAGAGGAGCTGGTTTGCCACCAGCACTCAGGYAAGAGTGAGCACACAGAGCCCAGTCCTGCTGTCCCTTCGTGGCTGTTCAGGGTTGAGGCTCCCATTCTCTGTGCTCTCAGCTACGCTCACACTCACAGACATCTCAAACATCAGCACAAGCTTTCAGTCATGTCTGCACCCTTTACCCAGCCACTGATTCACACCTCAATTCTTTTCAGAGAAATCCTCTCCTACTTCCCTGCCAATCCAGACTGAAGTTTGCTAGCAAACTGCACAAGTGCACACATGGACAGAGGATTAATTTCTGGGATTCTGGGACAGGCCTTGGATCTCACACCTTCGTCTCTCAGGTTGCTGGAATTTTGACCTTTCAGCACACACACCTAGATCAGAGAGGGGGATTGCAYAGTAGGAGAAAAAAGTTAAGGATTGAATATGAAAATAGAATGGATTGCAGTGATCAGGCAGAGGATGCAGTTGGATGAGCATACAGTCTGGCAGCCTACCTGCATCCAGCCAATCCTTTTAATCCCCTCCTCTGATTTTCCTGCTCCTGAACCTCCCTCATCCACCCTGGTTCTTGTGTGTGGTCTGAAGTCTCTTCTAATATCCAGTAATACTGAAGTTAATAATATTTTATGTTTCTAGTCAATGACAAAGTTCAGCCTGACCCTCCTCAAGGCTGTGCCCAAATTGTTGCTTTAATAGCCCATCAGGCACTGACCAATGTGTTCTAGTTCCTGTTAATGTCTCCTTCATCATATGTTCATTAATTCCTGAGTGGGTTTAATTAATCACTTTCCTCGTTACTTGTTTACTCTGTTTTTCTGAATAGTCCTTACACTGCCTCCATGTGATTCTGTCGAAGTTGATACAATGGCCTGAAGGCTGACAGATCTGAGGGGTTGAGGCATGGAAATCGATGCAAAGCCACAAATAGTATTAAATGGACACAATAATCATGAGAATAAAAAATTATATGATGTGTGCCATAATCTTTTAATTCGTGGAAATAACAAATGAACATTCCCAAATGACACCAAATCAGTATTCCTGGTGGGATGGGACTTTGTCTCATTGGTCTGTGAATATGGGGTCTCACAGTGCTAGTATCACTGGTGAAAGCAGCTGACAGCAGTTTGCAAACTGTTTTGGGGGATCCTGGTAAAGGAGACTCATTTTCTGGTGTTTTAAAATACATGGACCCAAAGTATGTGTCTACACTGGCACTGGTGGCTGAAGTGCAGTGCACTCACAAGGACACAGGGCCCAGGCTGGAGGGTAGGAAACTGAGAGGCAGAAAATCATGCCAACAACAAAAAAAGAAGATGGGGAAAGCTGACAGGACGGTGGATAGCACAGGATCAGTCTGGCAGCAGAGTTCATTTCCACAAGCATTGGGATGTATGGGAGAGATCTCACCCCACATTCTCAAGGGGTGCAGAGAATTTCAATAAAGACATGAACAAGTTCAAGGGCTGAGGGTTGATTTCTGTTGGTAGGTATAACCTCTGTCAACTTTTGTTGTCACAAAAAATTGAGCCACACCACTTTGGTTATTTCTGGGTAGCTTCTGTTTTCACTTTAGCACAAAATGCACAGCCTGGACACACATAAAGCCTTGGGCTTGGGCACCCTCAGCTGCTCCTGAGCACATCAGGTACAAGTGTGGCAGACTGGTAGTCAGAGCAGCCAGCTGCAGGCTGCTGGGGAGCTGGGCAGAAGGTGAACTATTCCTCCCTTTGGAGGCCACGCTTCCAGAGCTGTGCTGGTGCTTTGTTTTTTCCCTCGAGAGTCCAGCCATACTGGCTGTGTGATCTGGACAGACAAAAAGGCAGGTAAACAGTGTTCTTGTCCTTGGAAGTTTGTTCTTTGGACTCTGACAGGCTTTGGTATTGTTTACTCCCAGGGCAGTCTCCAGGTCTAGGAGGAAATTCTGGAGACAAAAAGAATCCTGGAGACAAAAAGAATCCTGGAGACAAAAAGAATCCTGGAGACAAAAAGCCAGCCCTGCTTGCAGAGCCTGGAAGCAGAGTGCACCTGACACTGAGCTTCCCAACACATCTCTTGCAAATGAGATGAGACATCATTCGTTTTTGAGACACACACAGCTTTCTCCTGCCCTGTCAGCCTCTTCAGGGGTTTCCCTGTGGGGGGTTTATTTGATTACATTATCATATRGCACCATAACTCCCCACTGATCTGTGATTCTGATCAGCAGGAGCCAGCGTGCTCCGCCTGCAAGGACAGATTCTCTGCTCTCATGTGCAAGCAGGTACCTGTTCTCAAAGGAACATGCACTGCCTGAAAGATGGGATGCTTTGGACTGTTTTGATCTAGATTTTTGAGGAAAAATTCCCCTTTTTCTGTGACATGGGATGCTTTTTGATGTGTAGGTAAGAAATGAGGAATTTGCATCTTACCTTCTCCACCATA